TTCTTGAGTAAAATGGGCTGTCAGCGACCAGCATGTTTTAAGCACCTACCAGGCATAGAACGTTGAACTAGATGCTTCCTGCGGTAAGGACCGGGGGTGGGGGGGGGTGCATTCACTCTTTGTTGATCAGTCAGGTGGCTCACTTCGTCATAGTCAGGTTTGACATGAAGTGGTAAGATATCCGCCATGCCGAAAATGCTCATGCTTTTAATGCCAGGAAAAAATCGCCGGTGTACTCTCAGTTCTTCTTTGATCCTGTTGGATGCATTCTCCTAGGTCGAGCCTTCATCTTCGCTTGTGTGTATGAAAATACTTTTTTGCTTTTTAAATACTAGGGACCGATACCACTGTTGATGATAGTGCAGAGAAACCCTCCACATCTCTCAGTGCATAATTTAGTCCTCTGTCAATGCCTTCTTGTTTTCTGAGCACAGTGTACGAGGTGTGCCATCTCAAAATCAGCTGCTACCCTGTCCCTTTGATAGAAGTCACTTCCCTTCACTTGTGGCCTAGCTGATGCCTGATAAGTATTGTCAGTGTGCAGAAGTCTTGACCCCAGAATGTTTTGTTTATAGCCAGTTGAGTCTGAAAATTTTAGGAACACAGTCTCTTTGTGGATGGATGTTGTTAACTGTAATCGTTGTGGCCCATAGCCATGGATTTTTAAACCCCCAGTTATCCACATGGTGTGTCTCATTAATTCTTTGAACTCCTTAGAGTAAGTTTTTGTGATTAAGGACTGTGAAGTCACAAGAATGAGGCACCGTGGGCGCGCTAGTTAGATGCTGGCAGTATTGCGATTCTGTACAGGATTTTTTTTTTAATGACAACATTCACAGAACTTCTTTTTAAAAAGCATCTTAACATACCTACTAATTGGTTGCCACTGATACATAAGAAATATATTTGTGTTTTGTACTAAAACACAAATGCAAGAGTGCAGTTTTTAAAATCTAGAAGTTAGGGGTTCTTTTGTTAAAGAAAAACAGACTGACCCAAACCATTAAATCTTGCTGGGATTTTTATGCGTAGAAACTGACTTATATAAATATGAAATAAACAGTGCCAATATTCATGATAAAGCAAGAAACTGTAACATTTGGTTTAATTTATTCTGTTCAGCAATTTTTAAAGGCATACTGCTGTTTTTTCTTGTATGTTATTTTTGTTTCGTAGCTTTTTTTTTTCAGAATTGTCTATTAAATTGCCATTTAGTTCAGATGGAAATAGGATTTAAAGTTCTTGCATGAGACATGTAATTTGCATATTTTCCTTTTTTTTTTTTCCCTTTAGCAAATGGAAGTAAATTTGCTTGTTCTAGTAAATCTTAATTTTCAGGCTTCCTGAATACCTAAATTGTAACTGTCATTGTTGCACTGGTCAATATGTGGAAACATATTGTTCTGCCCTGCTACTTACATTTATTTGAAAGTGAACTTGCAGTGATGAGGAATTTATGAAAAATATATTGTATTTCTTTGGATGTTCCAAAAAGTAGCACATGTAAAACTGATTTATGGAAACATGCTACATGTCCAAAAATAAAGACCAAAATGACATTTTGACATTTTTCTTGAGTTCGTCTTGTTTGAAGAACAGAGTATTATTTACTAGTTGAGCAACACTGCCCCCAGCCCCTACCTCCCATGTTTTTTTTTTTCACTGCAATTTGATGTTTTGCTTAGTCTGTTAGAAAAACAGGAAATATCCTTCAGTTGATGAATTACTCTGTCATCTTTTCTTTCTACAATATTCTCTCTTTTACTCATGGAATAGCAAGTTCAATTGTGCCTTTGTTTCCTAATCCAAACTCTTGTTTTTCAGTGCACTAGAGTTTTTCAGTGCATCGCGTGAGACAAATGAATACATCTGTACAGTACTGTGCATGTGAGCTACATAATTATGCATTATATCTTGCAAGCTATTTTAAGAGAAATTGGATTTTTTTTTTTTTTTTTTTTTTTTTTTTTAGGGAAGCCCCAAGAAATTGGAATTTTGACTTCATTTACAGAAGCCCAGTGTATGATCAGGCCCCCCAAGATGGCTGTTCTCTTGCTCTCCGTACATCCCCTGCTGGACCAGTGCCTGCTTCACCTACACCCCACTCACATGACTGACCTTGCTACACATACCTTCCCTGACCGGAGCTAGTGATTATTCTAATCTTTAGATCAGAACATCTCCACCTGATAACTTATCAAAGGAGCCATGAGGGGCGTGCCCCTCTGCCGGTTTCCCTGGTAACTGATGAGCCCACCTGACGTCAATTCCCCTATAACTGGTAAATCTGCCCCTTCCCTGGGTAGCGAAGACTCCTGCCATGTCCCGCCATCCTGCCAGCTGCTGTCTGCCGCACGCCGTGGGGTGTCGCTCCAGGACCTTGCTTCAAATGTGTAAGATCCCCCCATCTATTAAACCACTGATATCTCTGTCGCTGACTCTAGGCTCTTCGGTCTTGAGGCTGGGCAAGTATAGGGCTTGCAGGCCTGTGGGGTGCAGCCCAATGCCCAGCTTCTCCCACGCACTTTGTTGGAAGCAGTGGAAAGCAGTCCCCTACGTTGATACGTTCTGATTTATCTTCCACCAAAACATTTTTGGCTCAGTCAGGGTATCCTAGGTCTGTGTTTAGTTTCGTGAAGGATTTTTAAAGGCCTCTTTATCCTTCTCTGCATTCCCAAAAGAATCTGGGTAGATGTTAAATTGTATCATTCTATGGCTGGATTTTTAAAATCTGAAATTCTGAAAATTAAAGTTCTCTACAAATTTTGATTTGTATTCACAGTACTTTCCTTTATCCTTCATATTTGGTTGTGGCTCAGTGATTCTCAACTGGATGTGGCAGTGGTGATTTTGCCCCCTGGGGGACATCTGGCATTGCCTGGAGACATTTCTGTTTGTTCCAACTGGATAGGAGTGGGGCACTGGCATCAGGTGGGATGCTGCTAAATATCCTATGATGCTTTTGGACTACCCCCCACACCAAAGAATTATCTGTCCCAAAATGCCGGTAGTGCCAAGGCTGAGAAAGCCTGGAGCTCTAGATGGTTTCACCTCCTTAAAAGATACCATGAGTTAACTCCTTACTTCAGTAGCCTTTTACGCCCATCTCAAATGTAGTGCTCAAACGTGCTAAAGATGGTCTCTCTGAAAGAGTACAAAAGTCGAGCTTCTCATGGCCAGCTTTTTTTTCTTTTTTGCGGTACACGGGCCTCTCACTGTTGTGGCCTCTCCCGCTGCGGAGCACAGGCTCCGGACGCGCAGGCTCAGCGGCCGTGGCTCACGGGCCCAGCTGCTCTGCGGCATGTGGGATCTTCCCGGACCGGGGCACGAACCCGTGTCCCCTGCATTGGCAGGCGGACTCTCAACCACTGCGCCACCAGGGAAGCCCTCATGGCCAGCTTTTCTGGTATGTAAAACAAAAAGAACAGCCAGGTTTTAAATGAAAATTAGGGCGAAAACAAGATTGAATGGTGTTATGTAATACTAGATACACCACTGGGCTGACGTGAGTAAATGATCACCTTCTTACAGAACAATTGGAGAAAGAGACATGAAAAGAACTGAAATACTTGTGTTGATGTATTTTCATACGCTGGCACGCTACCAGGTAATCTAAGCTTGGTAAAGTAACCTTATATGTTAATATATGTCCTTGAGAATGGAAACCGCACAAGCTCGTGATGGCGTGGTGATACACAGAAATGGGTACGTTGTATATTGTGACTCAAGGCTGATTCTCATGCCTTACCCTTTTCACAGAGTACAGGGAGGCGGTTCTTACATAGGGAGTCATTCTGTTTTGCCTGAGTGCTAGGAGAAACTCCCGTATTTTTGCATGAAGCATTTATTTAAAAAGATTGATTTAGTTCTCTCCTTTGGGCTTGTTTTTTCCAATAGGTTGTAGAAATTTAGAAAATCTAATATAGCCAAGAATGAAACAGGAGACCTAGAGTTTCCTCATCTGTTTTTCCCAGGTGAGGAAAATTACACATAAATCAATTTTACCGGTGTTGGCCAGCTGATGCATGTCAAAGAATCAGGGTTACAAGAGAATATTGTCCAGCGAGGGAAGGTACTGATTCACAGAATCTTTGGGTACTTCACGCAGAACCTAGATCATCTTCATCCATTTCATTGCAAGTCCTCCACGATCGACTATAGCCCACATTTTCCAGAACAAGGCACCACCTTTACTGACACCTACAATGGGAAGTAAAAGACCAGGAATGTTGCCGGAGGACTTTGTCATGATGAAACTATTCCAGGCAGTGGTCTAATGCTTCCAGTCTGGAGAGGCCTCCAAGCTGGGCCTTTTAGGGGCTTCCCTGGCGGTCCAGTGGTCAAGACTCCACACTTCCACTGCAGGGGGCACGGGTTCAATCCCTGGTTGGAGAACTAAGATCCCACATGCCGTGTGGTGCAGCCAAAAGAAAAAAATCAAGCTGGGCCTTTTATTAAATACTGCCTTAGAGTAAATAATCTTTCTTAACTGGTCATATTTTAGATTTGGGCTTTATCTCCCATAAACCTCAGGATGCAGAGGAAATGAAACGTTCCAGGGGCTGGTACTTCCCACCAAGAGCATAGAATGCATTAGCACTTCTTTTCATGAGCTTGAAGTAACTTGCTTTGTCCCCGTGGGATCTGAAAGGTTTGTTCTGTCTTTCCAATCCTGCCTTCCAATATAATGTAGCAAAAACTGGGATTTAGGAGTAAAAACGTTTTGGACCTGAATCCTGTTTGATAAACAACACTGAGGAATGTAGGTCCAGAACTATTGGGTGTTTCTGGTTTGAAGGAAGTTTCTTTAGTTCATTTAACATTGCCATGAATGTCAGTGCATGCAGTCGCCAAGTCACAGTTAGCTTAGAATCTACAAACTCAGTTCTCTGTAACAGGAACACGGAGAGCTAGAAGGTTTAAAATAGATGTCATATGATACCGATTATAACTCAGTGAAATTTTGCAGTCCCAAGAACCTATACAGAGTGTGAACCAAAATGGAGGACGGTCCCGTTTCCTTTGACTTTAAAAACATTTTTATTACAATGTTTGCTACTTTTTTTTTCTTCAAGCTTTTAATTAAAGTGTTCTTGGCGCTCCTAACCCATTTCTATATCGTCAAAGGAAATAGAAAAGAAGCGGCTAGGATAGCAGAAGAGATCTATGGTGAAATTTCAGGTAAAAATACATGTATTTGTTCCCAATACTTTAAAAGAAACCTCCTAGATAATTCATATGAATAATATTTCTAGAAGGCAGATTTTATTTAACTTTGGCTTTGAGTGGGTAGTTTTAAAAAATTATTATTTAAAGTAGCAAATGGTGTTGACTGCACCAATTTGTGAAGGATTTTCAGCTTTCTTTTCTGCAAATTAGTAGTTTCATTAGCAGTTATTATTTAAGAAGTAAATAGACTAGTGGCTTTCTAAGAGTATTTTGGGGAAACTCATTTCTGCTAACAAAAGAATTACTTTATAGGATTATCTTCTTGAATATTTGTAATCAAGTGTTAGCAGTGCATTCTAACAAAACTGTTTTCCCCAGGAAATGGAATGACCAATAAATTTGATTTAAAGCAGCAATATATATGCTGTGTGTGTGTGTGTGTGTGTGTGTGTGTGTGTGTGTGTGTGTGTGTGTGCTGTCATTTGCAATTCGAATTGCTTAGCCACTTGTCACTGTCAGGAAAAAACCCTTCACTGAATCCATTTATGCCCAGCACCATGCAAAGCACAGCAAACAAAGGTTATTGTAATATGAAATGCCAACCTTTGGTCCAAACGTTTTAAAGTCTCCTGCTTTGTAGAATTCAGTCTCCATTTCTTTCAAGAAATGATTCACGTTAATTGTAGGGTCTAGGCTACGAAAGTAAATGAATCAGATATCTTGGTTACTGCTGGGACTGCCACTGGATAGAGGAGTATTTATTCATAAACAGAGTTCCAAATTTCCCTGTGTATTTTTAGTGTTCGCAGGGGTTCCAGGGTTACCTCATTCTTTATCTAGTATCCATTTCACCGTGCACCCTGGATTCTCTTTCAAAATAGACTTATGTTATGTGATTCCAGTACACCAGACAACTTTAAGGACTCTAGGGAACAGCAGTCTTATCCGAAGAGATAAGACCTCCAAAGACAAAGCATCAGAATGCTTCAATTAACAGGGGAAAATGAGAAGAATCTTGAAGTTTCGGGAAGTGGCAGAAGGCTCGGAGTGTGGAAAGAGGTTTCTTTTGGGGATTACATTTGTCACACGTTTCAGGGAGGTATGTCGCTTTGACTTGGTTTTTAAAAAATACTTAAAGTAACCTTAATTTCAAGTTAAACATAATCTGAAAAGCTGTTTTCTAATTTAATTTGTAAATAGGGGCAGGGGCTTTCTAGACGTTTCCATCACAGTTTTAACGTTCTCATAGATACATCATCCTCATGGCTTAAATTAGTAAAGTCCGACAGCATCAGCAAGAGTGTGTCCAAAACGTTTTCTCCTGGTGCTCGTGTGCATTATTTCTGCCCTTGTGGTCCTTAACGAAGTACTCTTAAGCAAGTTTTATAAGAGTCAAAACCTGGAGCCATAATACAGTTCTCATAAATAGAGCGCCCTCATTTTTTAGCTCAAATACCTTGTTGAAGCTCCTAGGATAATCATTTAATCTGCAAATGGCATGGTGTTCTATTGCAAGTGGCATGGTGTTCTAAAGTCAGAAATGTGTTTTTCAGTAATCACTAACAAGAAGCAGTGGGGTGAATAGTGCCTGTTAATTTCTCAGTTTAATTTCCTTCCTATATACATGTGTATGTGTGTGAGGATGGCTGCGTATACGTCTACACACCACTGACACACCCACACACGTATATAATAGTATATCCAGATTTGTTAAATAAGGCTTTCTGTAATTAGGGAATAATACGCCAGAAACAGTGGTTTTTACATGATTCCCACAGCGCTTTTTCTTTTGACACTGTTAACAGATACTATATATATATATTTAAAGCTAGACATTTTAAAAACCAAGAACAAAATTTTGTCTAAGTGTTCAACTCAAACCAGAAATTACCTTTGCTGCTTGTTGGTCAGACAAATGTTTGTTGGGAAAATATGTGACATTTAATCAGTAAGTCAGCTAATCGACTTACTAAAATCTCAGAATTTCTTGAGTCCAGTAGCACATTCTGTTCCTGTAACTATCGTCAGTGTTGTCAAAAACAAGGGGAGGCAGTAAAAAACTCAGCCAGGGCAGAGTTTAGCCTGTCATAGGTCCTGGCACTTCTCTTTTAGAAGCTGCACCTAGCATCACATCCCTTATTAAATATCTTTTTTTTTTTTTTTTTTTTGGCTGTAAAATTTTTTGGAAAGTTTTTTTTCATATTCTGGAGTACATCATTCGATACTTTCCTTGTGGTTTAAACTATTACTTTTGTAAATAAGTCATCAGAATTGAGTTCAGGCTATGTTTGGTTGGCTGTACTTAGTTTTTTCCGGCTTCTTTGTGTAATTTGTCAATAATATATATATATTTTTAAGTTTGAAACATTGTCATTGGCCCTTGATATTCTTATATCTAGAGCACCAGATGCATCACTGGCCCCTGCCTTCAGGCCATAGATATTTCTGCAGGCACTCTCTCTCCCAAGAGACATGGGGTATGATTTTTCAACCTTTGCTAATTTGGCCAGAACTGAAGCTATATTTAGTACAGTGACTTGGTCATCACACTTGATAAAAATAAAGTGTAGATGCAGGTTGATAATCTCTTACTGACAATCCTCGGGCCAGATGTTTTAGGATTCCGGAGTCTGGAGGATACTAGAATCATTATGCAGCGTGTATACTGTATACGATGTGGCACTCCCAGCAGGACCTGGAGCTTCCTCCTGTAATCAGACGTTTTGATATTTCTATAGTGAAAAATATCGACATTCACACTAAGTGAAAATACAAATTAAAAATAATAGTTTGCTAAACCTGAGTCCTGACCATGTTCTGCTGCCAAAGGAGCTTGTTTCCAACTTGGTTTTCAGAACTGGGGGAAATTTACAATTGCAGGTAAGAGATTGTGGAGTTACTGTACCCTTTAAAAAAATGAGTTCTATTCTAAGTGTTTTGCCTAAAATCAGTTGTCCTTGTTTTTCTAAATTCAAAGGACTGACCTTGATTTGATGGCCACGCCTCTGCCTGACTCACCCTCCTGACTCCTTTTCTCTATCCTTCCCATGTCAACAGTTTTTTTCCCTCCTTTGGTCCATTCCTGCCCCGTCCTCCACCTCACCTTGTTCAGTGTTGCTGCTTGTCTCTTCAAGCCTTGGTCCCCCCATCCTCTGAGTGGTTATATATCACAGGTGCCTGCTGGCTTTCCCAAGTTGGGACACACAGCACTCAGCAGGGGCTTTGCCACCCAACCTGTCGTCTTCACCTCAGCTCTCCTGCTCCTAATGGGTTCAAAGGAAGCTTCTTTCTAACACATTACAAAGAGATGTTCATTGACTGTAGTTCATCTCCTGGCCAGAGCTGAGTGTTGTAGAGGGTACACTTTTTTTTGTTTGTTTTTTGTCGTACACAGGCCTCTCACTGCTGTGGCCTCTCCCGTTGCAGAGCACAGGCTCCGGACGCGCAGGCTCAGCGGCCATGGTTCGCGGGCCCAGCCGCTCCGCGGCATGTGGGATCTTCCCGGACCTGGGCACACACCCACGTCCCCTGCATCAACGCGCAGGCTCAGCGGCCATGGTTCGCGGGCCCAGCCGCTCCGCGGCATGTGGGATCTTCCCGGACTGGGGCACGAACCCGTGTCCCCTGCACTGGGAGGCAGACTCTCAACCACTGCGCCACCAGGGAAGCCCAGGGTACACGTTTTAACTCAATTGTATTAGAATACTTTTGATACCTTGGGAGATTTCTTGTAATATGTTCTTTTTTCCAGTTACTTTTATTTTACTTAAGATATCCTTAACTCTGTTAGGCTCTTGCCTATATTTTGGTTCAAATTTGAATTTTCTATATTTTTTTGATAAGTGCTACAGGAGAAAATATTCCTTCATATGATTTTGGAACTTGAATAAAGCGAATAAAGATTGTTTCATGGGCACTGGAGATAATGACCAGTCAGGCAGTTAAAAAAATAAATAAACCAGTCGTCTCAAATACTTGTCGGAATTAGGCAGGGTAAAAATTGCAAAAAAAAAATTTAAAAATAATAATTGATTTTTATCTTGAATTCTTGGAGCTCGGACACCCATATTCCATCTGAACCCATTTTGTTATTGAAATCTATGGTTTTAGACATTGTCATGAATTTGTTATTCAGAGAGCCTGAGAACTAGAGAGAGAAATCACATTCTGAGAAAAAGTCAAAGGGGGGAATGAAAATGTACTTGAACATTTTCCATACACCTCATCAGGAACAAGTAAACATATTTGTACAGTAAACAATCTTCAAAATGTGCCTGCAGCCCTGTGACACAGGCAGCGTGCCAAATAACTCAAAATAGACTCTGCCTTAGAAGCGAAGGATTGATTGCTACTTCAGCATTCATTTATCTGGAGATCTTACATACATATTTCCTGAAAGGAATGGAAAAACTCCCTAGCCGGCAAATAACTTTTATCCTCAGTTTCTCGCAATTAGCTCCAATTTGCAAAACAAGAATGATAAGAGCAAGAGGCTGTGTGTTGGGAATCAGAATAGAAAAACAGAAGAGCCCACCGTGGCAGAGTTTCTGGAAAAGCGTTTTGTGTGAAAACCCTTCAAGGTCCTTTGAAGCAAGTGCTGGAAAACAGAGTGACCGGAAAGGTGACTTCCAGGAGAGTGGCTTTATTTCCAGTTGGGAAACCGAAATGACTTCCACATTTAAGGCGATCCAATTGATTTATTTCATGTTATTTACAGAGAGAAGGGGGATGTAGGAAGGCACCTCCCCAACAAGTCAATCTACCAGGAGGATGGGCAGGATAGAAAAACCAGTAGTTCTTAAAACCAGAACGGGGTGCGTTCTCAAACTGACTCCTCAAATAGGGAGAAAGAGAGCTGGAAAGCAGTGGCGAGGAGACAGAAGCCCAGGACCACCCACCCTTCCCTCTTCCTCCCTGGATCAGAAGATGGCCTGCACACTTGCGTCCGCCTCGGAAGCCTGGGGTGGGAGTTGGGGGTAGCAGACGATGCTGTATTGATGGGGGACACTAGGAGGGGTGGCCAAGTGCCAGTGCGTAGGAAAGGCACTGGGTGTGAGACATGCAGTTGAGGCCGAGTGCACAGGACTGGTCCCCTCTTCCAGGCCGCTAGGGAGACATCTCCCCATCCCTCTAGCTTCTCCCCACCCCCACGGCACCAGAGGGGCTGTTGGCACCTCAAGAAGGAAGTGAGAACATGCTGCCCTTCCTCGGGCGGAGAGGGGGCCATCCCCTGCCCTGAGAGTGGGCAGAGGAGTGGAGATGACAGTTTTAAAGCAGACTGACCAGTAGACTGGTGGTCTTGAAATCTCTTTCTTGAAGTATGCCATAAATACAGATAAGTGCACAAACCGCAAAGCGGACAGCTGGGTGAGTTTTCGCCATGGAGTGCCAGCTCCCAAGAACAAGAAACTGCCCGTTATCAGCATGACCCTCAGCCCACCCACCTCCAGTCAGTCCCTGCCCCTTCTCATGGTACTTTTGACTCCTAACGCCCGAAGTGAGTCTGGCCCTTTTGTACTTTATGGAAATGGGGTCATCTGGCACATCCTCTTCTGTGCAGGGCCGCCTTCATCAGCGTGATGTTTGAGAGATCTGTCCAGGCCGTGTGTACGGATGGCGTGGGTCTTAGGGGGCTGAGGGGTAACAGAAATTTACTAGAAACAGGATGAAATCGTGGTTAAGGTGCCTGTTTCCCAGCAGGAAAGGGGACACCGCAGCCCGCTTGGAGGCAAGTTTTAGAAATAATAAAGCCATTTCATGTTGCTGTTCTAAGTTAATAATAGCAAGTTGCCATTTAAATCCTGGTGTGAAGCAAATACTTAGAGTACCTTCAGGTGACTCGGTTGACTGGCTATTGTTAGAACAAAAGAATAACAAAGCCACAGGTGTGGGTTTGCTTCTTAGGTTGGTCAGGACGCTGAGTTGCCATCCATGGGGGAAGACCGTCCTTCCAAACTCGGTGCTTGTCCCTCTCCAAGCCTGATGAGGCGAGAGGGCGACGCGTCTGGCGCACACTTCATATTGAATGGGATGGAGATGTAGTCGAAGAAAACCAAGGCTGACTACTGAGGGTTCTGTGCTTACGTTGTCTCATTGTTCCTAGCTTATGCAAATGATCAGTGTCCAAAGAGGTTGAAAAATCCTCCGCTCATCAGCTTTTAACTGACTCGGGAACAAGTGGACATACAAACGCAATATATTTTCAGGTTAAAATTGTTGTCTGTTTTTCTTACTAGAAAAAGTATTCTACATATCAGAAGTATGCAATTCACCAGTGATTAGATAGATAGATTGATTGATAGATTAATAGATGGATAGATATAGTTAGATATAGATAGATATACACTTTTTATTTTGGAACTAAAGTGGTACAAAGAATTCCCACTTCTCTTTGCCCAGACTCCATTCATGTTTATCCAACTGTCCAGTTAACATCCTTGATAGCAAAAGGATCCAATCCGGGCACATGTTGCCTTTAGATGTTGTGTCTCATCAGCCTCCTTCAATCTGGTTACAGACCAATTAGTTTTGAGAACATCCCTCAGTTTGAGTTGGTTTGAGGTGTCCTCACGATTAGATTCAGGCTATGCATTTTGAGCAGGAATATTCCCAGCAACGCTGTGTTCTTTTCACTGCGTTCCCTCCAGTAGTATGTGATGTGGCTCATTGTGTTCCAACAGATGGCACACTGTGCCAATTGGTTCCATCGCTTCTGAGGTTAATTTTGATCCCCAGGGTAAGGTGGTGCCTACCATTTCGTTCCACTGTACAATTACCCCTGTTCCCTTGATAACTATGTAATTATTTTGTGGGGAGATAATTTGAGGCCGATTCTATTATTTCTCCTACGTGTCTGAAGTTGGTGTTCTACTATGAGGAAGAGCTTTCTCTTCTCCCTGTTTATATATTCATTTGTATCAGTGAGGCCTTATAGATTCCTGTTTTATTTGCTGGGGTATAATCATGATTTATTTTCATGCTCAAATCGTCCCGTATTTGGCCAGTGGAAGCCCCTTCAAGGCAGCTTCTGTACTTTTTGACATTTCCCATCGTTCATTGAGCACTTCCTTACTTTCTGGCAAGATGTTTGCGGCCCATCTTACATTTTTCCTGGCATTTCAGCCTTGGAGTCAGCCATTTCTCCAAGCAGCCTTGGTTTAGGTTTTCTCAGTATACAGTGCTATTCTGTCTATCTAGCTATATCTATATATCTGTCTATGGGTAGAGATATATAGATATATCTGTAGAGAGAGAACCAGATGGGTCACCAGATCCTACCTTCAGCCCATAGATATTTCTGTAGACACCATCTTTCCATATACACACATATATTGAAAATCACATTTTCATACCAGTTGCTCTAATTGTTCCAATTTCAATCCAACCCTGTAGAATTCATTCTAGCTTTCTCCCTTTTCAAAACCCAGAGGGTTAGAGAAGATAAAAATTGAGTTTCAATGTAAGAAGAGGTTTTATGGAAATGTTTAGAGCCTTGGTTCTCATCCACTGGAAAATTTCAGTCTCTCCATGAGGACACACTACTTCAAGTTCACATAATTCCATATTTGTTGGGATTGTTTTTGTCAAGGTTGTAGGTATGGGAAAACCTGAACTCTTAGTACCATCCAGATCACCTAGAAAAAGGTGATAAGATGGGCCTTTTGTGTTAAACCCAAACTGTATGACGTGCTTATCAATGTATGAAGAGCACAGTTATAATTTGAAGAATGCCCCGATTTTGCAAACCAGTGTAGGTTTTCTTCCAAAACATGATTGCCCTTTGGCATGTTTAATAGAAGCTTACTTCTCAAATGCACACGTAAGCTTGTTAGTCTTGTTTCCTGACAAGCAATTAGCAAGAAATATACATTTGTAAGGCAGTTCTAAGGCTGTTCCTTAGAGCGCTACCCTACCACGTGTACTTATTAATCATAACTTTTCTTGAGCACCTAACATCATGGATATACTTTATTGGCCTACTTAGAGACCAAAGAACCTGCTAAATACTAGATTACTATTCCCCCACTTTACAGATCAAGCAGTGGAGGTTCAAATGATTTTAGTAACTTGCCCATTTTGGCAGAGACAGTAGTTGAGGCAGGACTGGCCCAGTGCTTAGCCATCATATTCTAACTGCCCACCAAAAACTCTTGGAGGATTATGTCATCTGAAAAACAACATTCTGCATTATGATAACAGATCGGCTTCATTACCAAAATCAAAGAACTATCTAGGGAATTTCGAACAAAACGATTTTCCCTGACCCCTTAGGGTCTCCTTCCTGGCATATAGGATGTCTTAGGGTAGGGGTGAAGGGGGAGAGGCAGGGGAAAGAAGAAAGTGGGGAAGTTCATGGACCAGCTTTGCCCTTCATTTTGACTATTCAGAGTTATCGGATTCAATCACTGGGCAGTATTTATTTGAACGAAATGTATTCCTTACGAAAACTGCCCCCTAAAGCCAGAGAGATGGTCTGTGCTCCCTCTCCACGCCCATGGACTGTATCCTCAGTGGCTGGTCACCCTGCGAGTGGCAGACCGGAGAACCTGATGCGTGGCGCCAGCTCCCCTCCCCTTCCGCCAGACCTCCTCTCACAGTGGGTGGGCACATGAACAAGCTGGAGGAAGAAGACTCCTGACCTTGACTCTGAGCTTGATGTGTGTTTCAGATTGCTGGGCCGATCGGTCTCCACTTCATGAAGCGGCAGCTCAGGGGCGCCTGCTGGCCCTGAAAACTTTAATTGCACAGGTGAGTAAACGAAAGACTTGATCCTTGGTGCTTGTGCTATGATCAAGCATCATTCTTGATCAGCTTTGACTGTAGCAGGGGTCTTGCTGGCCCCATCTGGCTCCCAGCACAGCCATTCTACATGGATGCATCCTCTCCCAGGTATTTGTTCCTCCTGCCTCTCCCTCCTTGGGGAGCTGGCTGGTTTTCTGCCCAATTCCAACCTTCCCCTTCTAGGTTTCCCTTTGCTTCATAAAAAGTTTCCCTATGAGGCTGATGGGGGATGCCCTCAAACCTGTGTTGCACTAACTCACCTTGCTCTCTCCCAGTGTGCCTTAGTAACAGCAGCCCTGAAGTTGCATAAGTCAGCTATTGCTCTGTAACAAATTACCTTGAAACACAGTGGCTGAAGACAACAAATGCTTAGAGTCTCATGGTTTCTGTAGGCCAAGGAGCAGCTTAGCTGGGTGGTTCTGGCTCCGAGTCTCTAGCAGGCTTCAAAGTATCAGCCAGGGCTGCAGTCATCTTACAGCTTGATCAGGGGAAGGATCTGCTTCTAATCTCACTCATGAGGTTGTTGGCCATTTTCAATGCCTTGATGCCTGGACCTCTCCATAGGGCTGTGTCACAAGATGGTAGCTGGCTTCCTCCACAGACAGCATGAGAAAGGGCCTAAGAAGGAAGTCTCAGTACATAACCTGTCTCCAAAGTGACATCTGATTGCTTCTGCCGTATTCTATTAATTAGATGGGAGTCAGTAAATCCTGCCCATGCCCAGGGGGAGGGGATTACACCAGTGAGCCAATACCAGGAGTCAGGACCCATCTTGATCCCTGGGAACCATCTTAGAGGCTGCCTACCCTGATGATCCACTGTTTCAAAAGCAAACATTGAAATAGGTTGACAAACGGGTAAATCTTACTCCTTTGGGAAGATTTCTTCAAGTCTTAGTTATTAAAGCTAATTTATTTTTACTTATGACTGTATCCCTAGCACCATGAATAATGACTAGAGGCCTAGTAAATATTTGTGAGATGAATGAAAGTGTACACAGGGCATTTACTTTGTTTTAGAGTCTATGTGTGTACAGAGGAGGTAAGTCATTAGATCTTTTTTCCACAGCCTAGCTACCACCAAACCTGGCTTGCTTATTTTAAATTTAAACAGCTGGACACACTGCTCTTTTTCTCTCTGTGTGTGTATGTGTGTGCCTTTTCTTTCTTTCTCCTTTATGAGTTGTGTTACTTCTTTAAAAAGTGGAGGCAAAAGGAAAACAGTACTGCCAGTAATAATCAAATGGACTTTGCACTTGATTTTATCACTTATTTATTTGTAAGCACTTAAAATTTTATTTGGTTTGATTTTTTTTCCTTCCAGTTTTATTGAGATATAACTGGCCTCCGGCACTGTATAGGTTTAAGGTGTACAGCATAATGATTTGACTTACATACCTTATGGAAGGATTATCACAATATAGTGACCATCCATTGTCTTGTATACATTTAACAGTAAAGAAATAGAAAAAAGGTTTTTCCTTATGATTAGAACTTTCAGGATTTACTCTCTTAACTTTCATGATATAACATACAGCCGTGTTAATTATATCTATCATGCTGTATCGTGCTGTGTTACATCCCTAGTATCTTCTGCTGGAAGTTTGTACCTTTTGACTCCCTCCATCCAATTCCTTCTCCCCACTGCCCCCCACCCCCACCCCCGACCTCTGGTAACCACAAATCTGATCTCTTTTTCTATGAGTTTGCTTTTGAAGTATAATTGACCTACAACACTATGTTAGTTCCTGTTATACAACAGTGATTCGATATTTCTATACATTTCAAAATAACCACCATGATAGGTCTATTTACTCTCTGTCACCAAAGAGATTACATAGTTATTGACTATATTCCCCACATTGTATATTTCATGCCCCGCTAGTTACTATCTGTCACCAAAGAGATTACATAGTTATTGACTATATTCCCCACACTGTATATTTCATGCCCTGGACTCATTTGTTTTGCAACCGAAAGTTTGTACCTCTTAATCTCCCTCATCTATTTCTCTCCTCCTCCTCCTCCGACCTCCTCCTCCTCTGTCTTGAAGCACTTAAACTGTTATTTGATTTGATTATTTTTAATATGTGACACATTCACATAGTTTCCAAATTAAAATGATAGAAAAAGGTACACAGTGAAAAGTCTTGCGCTCAGCTCCTTCTTCTTGGCCCCCGACCTCAATACTTTTATTAGTATTTAAAATTTTTAATTTTAGAATACTTTTAAAGAAGAGTTGCAAAGACAATACACAGAGTTCCAGCATACCCTTCACCCAACTTCCCCTCCTGTTAATATACATAACCATGGTACTTGAGTCAAAAATAAGAAATTAACATTGGTACAACACCATTAACTAAACTACAGGCTACTGAGACGACACCAGTCTTCCCACTAGGGTCCTTTTTCTCTTCCAGGATCCAGTCCAGGATATCACATTGCTTTTAGCACTTCTTTATTTTTAACTGTATTTTATAAGCGTGTTGCTTTCTATAGTGTCCTTCAACGTCTAAAGAACATTCTTCATGGAGAATTCTTCAGCCTTTTCTTAGTACATCCCCACTTTTTTACCCTTACACACTGGTAAAAAATGGATTATTCTACTTTATTTTCTGCTCTATTTTACGTGTAGACAGTGTGGTGTGCTGTGAGCAAAACATTAAACCAAGGGTCAGGAGCTTCTGACGATCACACTGGCTGTCACCGACAGCAGGGGAACCTCAAATCTTAATAATTTGAACTCTCTGCTCCCCCATGTTCTCACCCGCAATGACAGTGAGTCACTCTAGCTGATCTTTCAGGCCTGTCCCGCGTTACATTTGTACAGTTCCAGGGATTCTTGAGAGTTTGCATCGGATCAATGTTTTTTTTTTTTTTTTAGCACACTGCTGCCACCTTGTGGACTCTTTTTTTTTTGGCCACGCCGCGGGGCTTGCAGGATCTTAGTTCCCGGACCAGGGATTGAACCCCGGGCCCTAGGCAGTGAAAGTGCCAAGTCCGAACCACTGGACCACCAGGGGATTCCTTGTGGACTATGTTTTAAAATGCTCTTATTTTTTCTTTATTTTCTTAAAATGAAATTATATATGGGAAGAGGAAAAGAAACCTCCTTGTAATTAGATACCCAATTGTAAATATACAGTACGGCTCTGGAGTAATGACGTCATGTTCAGGACATAAACATGGACAGGACCAAGGAGGCACAAACAGGCCCTAAGATGACGATGGGACTGGCAATAGTGGGCAGTCCCAGCTGCTGGCCACAGGAGGGATGCAGCCAGCACCATGGAGGTCTGGTGGGAGGGGTTGGGAACTTAGGTTGGGGTTTGGGGTCCAGGGTCTTGCACTAGGTTTTGGAGCGTTTCAGCAGGTAGTTACGAGGCAGAGAATCAAAAGCAGAACTCAGCTGGGTCCTGGCAGAACCTAACTCCTTTCACAGATAGAAAGTGGTGATCATGGGGGCAAGCGGTAAGGGCAAAGTAGAGTCAGGGCATGAAGTTGGCCGGCAGCTAGGCTGAGCCTGGCATCTGTCAAATGGACTCCAAGGCGAGGAAAGTGGAGCACGGCACGACGGGGCGGGCAAGTGTGCTAGGACTGGGCGGAGACGCTCGGATCTGGGGAAGGAGAGGAGCGTTAGGAGAAGCCCGCGACTCCAGACCCTGTTCCTGCAGAGAGCTCGGCAGGCAGTGGAGGTCTGGCAGTCAGCATCACGGCCACTCAGGCACAGGAACCCTAGGAGCATCATCTAGTTTACTTTCTACTCTTTTTTTTTTTTTTTTTTTTT